GCACGCGTGGCAAGAGCTGCCTGCGCATTCAGCCGGTCTCATAGGAAAGCATTTACAATGCTTTCCTATGGACGCTTGCGTCTTCTCACTGTGAGTTTCACAGTGAGAATCACGCAAGCGCCTCTAGCGGCTGTCAATGGATTTGGAGGCTGGATTAACCCTATCATTTCTCTGAAACTGCTATGTTTATAAAAAAAAAGGGTTAATCCTAGAGGGACCTGGCACCCAGACCACTTCATTAAGCTGAAGTGGTCTGGGTGCCTAGAGTGGTCCTTTAATTTCTTGTATCAAATTGACTTATTTTGTTGAACCGATATCATTACCTCCCAAATGAACTATTATCACCTCTGGATAAGGAGGATAAGGAAAGCTTAACATACATTGCTGTATTATCTCAAATAATTGAGACCACTTGGCAGCACGAAAAACTTTAATAGCATTGCTTTCCAATCAAAGATTTTCACCATATGACTGATCTTTTGCTCTCTTCTGGGCCCAAAATATAAACGACTGACCAATTACCCAGGCAATCGCCGGCTTCTTATTACCCAACAAAAGAAAAATATTAATATATACACCAATTTTCATAGTGATCAATAAACTTTAACATTAAGCAGATAAACAAGTTTTTTAAATTTTTTATATCAAATGAGGCCTAACGTATAGTTGAAATCAATTAGACTCCCATCTTCCCAACCTTTGAATTATTCCATCACTTAATCCACACCTTGCTGCTTCTGTTGCCGCTCCAATTCTAAAAGAATGAGATGAATAACGCTCATCGCCTATCTTTAACTTATCCATGCATATCTTGAAGACCTTTGTAAATTGAAACTTCGTCAAAGGAATGGAGTCACGATGCATAAAAAAATGGACCTTCAACCCTCGGTCTTATTGACAAGTAATCTTGTGTCACTTTAACTGGACACAAAAAGGAACCTTAAATTTCCAGCAATGTTAACCATCTTCCTTTGCCTTCCTGATCTGTTTTTGATTTGCTAATGAATAACATCACTTTATCACTAACTATAATATCCTCCTATTGTAATCCTGATTAACAAAATTTACTCTTAGCCACTAACTCACTAAATCTTAAAGCTGCAAAAAATGCTATTATAAACAAACATCTAAGTAAAACTAACTCATACACGGAATAGCATACATCTTCCAAAACTGCAAATAACTGTGATAGAACTGTAAACTGTAAATAATAGGAAATATCGGTTTCCTATTATCCCTAACTCTACTAGCTCTTCTATAACCTCAAACTAACTGATTTACTATGAAATACTGTTTGATTGGCTTACAATCACACAACTTCCTAAAGAAATCCCCCTGGCTAAACTACAAGCTAACTTGGACTTAGAAAAACCCTTCTGCATTGAAACCAATGTAAATTGTATTGCACTCTCCAAACGGATCTTTATTTAACTTCTTAATATTGAACCACTCATTCCATGCTCTAACATATGCACTCCATGTAGAAGCTGCTTCCGAGTTCATCAGCATAACACTTAACTCTTGGTGCCAGTTTTCGAAATTCCTGCATTTGTAATCGTGAAAGAGCATCAGCCAGTCTATTCATTTTTCCTGGTATATGCCTAGCTTTCACCCAAATAATCAACTGAAAACACCTGAACACTAAGTGTCTAAGTAAACTGATAACCCTATTACACATGACTGTAAAGAATTGATTACCATTAGTACACTTAGATTGTCGCATGTGACAATCAGCTGCCTATTTTCCCCATACGTCTCTCCATAAATATATTGCGGCTACAATTGGAAATAATTCCAACAATGCCAAATTTTTGGTTAAGCCTTCCTGTGTCCAAAGATCTGGCCATTCTTGTGCACACCGTTGTCCATCCCAATATATGCCAAAACCGATAGCACCCGATGCATCTGTAAACAGCTCCAGACTATCCGAATCTATGAACTCTTGTTGCTGCATTGATCTTCCATTAAAATCTGTCAGAAAATGTTGCCATACTTTAAGGTCTTGCTTTAATTCCTTTGTTACCCTAATGTGTGCAAATGGGGACTTAGCTTTAGCCATTGCTATCCCCAACTTCCTGGAGAAAACTCTCCCCGTTGGAATAAACCTTGAAGCGAATGTTAACAGACCTAATAGTGTTTGTAGGACTTTTAATGTCACCTTCTCACAGCACATTATATGCTGGAACAGAGTTTTCATTTTCAGTATCATCCTCTGGCAACCTAAATTCCATGTTTGTTGAATCAATAATTATTCCAAAAAATTGCTCACTATCCTTAGGGTCTACAAATAAAAAGTCATCCAAATAATGCATTCTTTGCCTCTGACCCGATTCATACTGAGCAATCCAATCCATAAAAGTCGCAAAGGTCTCAAAGTAAGAACATGAGAGCACAACCCATAGGCAAGCACTTATCGAAAAAAATACTGTCCCTTGAATTGAAAACCTAGCGAATTAAGAGACTCTGGATTAAGTAAAATTCGAAAGGCAGCGTCTATATCCCCTTTTACCATCAATGCACCCCTTCCACATTTTCTTACCAAATTTAAAGCTTTATCAAAAGTTGAGTAAGACACCAAACTTTCTTCTTTAGAAATACTGTCATTTAAAGATCCTCCCTTAGGGTATGTTAGATGTATTAACCTATATGATCCAGGTTCTTTCTTTGGTACCAAACCCAGAGAGGATAACCGAAAAAAATTTAAACGGGGGAACATTGAAATGGCCCTCAAATCTCCCTCTTTATAAATCTTTTCCCAGGCTAAACTTGGTAACTCTAAAACGGATTTTAAATGTTCAACCCAACAACTATATATAGGTAACCATTCTCAAAACCTTCTTTAATGAACTTTGCCGGTTTGGATAGATTGCAAAATAAGGTAGTAACCTTACTAGTTTTACTGGGGTCTGAGCTTTTTGGAAATGTGCTACTTTCCGGACCTTTTATAGCAACGGAAATTAAGGTGTGCACCTGAACAGGTAGCGCATTCGTGCCAGAATCTGCAAATTAGCCACTTACATTGGGATTGGTTATAAGCCCAACATTTGTAACCGGCTTAACAAAATTAGGATGTCTGATGCATCACGCTCACCCAAAGTCCGACATCCTTCTTACCCCCATTTAAGGTTACTATGAACTGCTAGTTTGTCTAAATTGTTAATCATAATAAAATCATGACAAACCCAAAATTTTTACATGCTTCCAATATAGCTTCTGCATGTTGTATAAGACCACAGCACGATTCCAGATTTTTCTAACCCTCGAAAAAAAAAAAAAAAAAAATGCAAAAAGCTTGCAGCCAGTTATTGAATGACCTAGGAATAAACTTTTCATCATCCCTTTTCTCCCTATTCAGTTTAGTACATTTAGCAGTGGTCAACAATGATGATATAAATATATTCCCCTTTCATTGATTTACTTATATGAAGACAAATGTGAGCTTTCATTGCCTAACTTTTTCACTCTAACATCTTCCCTCACAGAATGTGCCACTTAGCTCATGACTGCATCCCAAGATGTCCTGAGCCGCTTTGCTTACTTTGAATAGCCTAGGTCTGGCCTCTGCCTCATTCTTTTGCAGCCTAACACCTTGTTTTTAAGCTGGAACAGCAAAGCCTCAACTGTGCCAGACATCTCCACAGGTAAGACAGCAGCTCAAATATTTTAATACAGCCAACCTGCAGATTTGTCTGGCACAAGCTGAGGTAATTAATTTTGGCACTAAGACTTTTAGATCTTATTTTCCCGCACTGTGGTCCTCATGCTGCTACCAATCAGGGCTCATGCCAGGGTCACAAACTTACCCTAACAGTGAGCTGCCCTGCTGTTAACCCTGAATGCTATACTTACCACTCACTATGCTCCATCAAACTTCATGAGGCTGCTCCTTATGCAGTCCATAATGCCCATTATAGTCGGTGATGTCTCACATGTAGGTTTGTTTTATGCATTGAAGTTTGCCAGATCTGTTTACTGGTTCCCCTATTGCCTTTGAGACTGTGGCAGCCCAAGAAGGAAGTTACCTCCCATCATGACATACATGCCAAGTAGACAACCAAGGGTATTCAAAAGGAACATGTCCAATCTTAGCAGACATTTAGTCACAACCCCTTGCCAGAAATAGTTTATATGGTTTTTGCTTTTCACACTAATCACTATACCTTTATGGTTCTAAAACCCACTTTTCAATGAAGTCTCAAGCACAGGTTTTATGTGTTTTGAGAAGTTTCAGGGTCAATAGAAGCTACAGATTAAATTGTTAGGCAGGTCCACCAATATGCAATAAATATCACCTATTATAAAATTGAATATATTTACACTATGAAATTAAGTTATTCCATGTGTTTCTTTACAAAACTAGTTCTATGTTGGGACCCGACATGCAGTCCATCACATTGATCCAAGTCCTGTGATCGCACAGTCACATCACTTAGATCATGTTTGGCTGCCTTGTTGTCAAGAAGTTCCCTGATCAGACCATGCAATCATTTTTGCTGCAGGTGGGCCTGCTCAGGGCGTACTATGCTGCCATAAGAGTGTTGAAGCCCTCTTTTGTAAGGCAACATGCTACACCCCAATGTTGGTAGATTAGTTTACTGCCAGATAGATCCCAAACAAAAACATGCATTTAATTAATGCATTTTAGGAATAGCTAAAACCTGGTGCAGATCTCTTGTCTGCAGCTCTCAAGCTATTCAATACTCCCAATGCAGGTGCTATGGACACTTGCCTGACGAGCTTAGCACCACTGAGTTAGACAACTGGGACTTACTACCTAGTTTATATGACAGCAGTGGGGTGTAACTGGACTTTAAGTACCAATCTTAGAGGAAAAGTACAACAAAACTGGACTCCTCAAAGTGTAAAAGTGTTCTTTTAAGCGTGTATATAAAGTGTTAACTACACACATTTACAGAAACCAAGTTATTTGACACATGTGGGGTAGGTGGGAATGACTTACAAAAGAAACTTTAGATTACAGAATACTGAATACATTTTATTTAAGCTTTTACAGTATAGGTCTTTGGGGCATGTTTTTTCTGATGTATCCAGAGGCCAATGAAGAAGATTCCAGCCAGAAGTGCTCCTGCAGCTGCTGTTCCTGTGGCAAAGCTTAGAGCAGAGTCGTCTGATACAAGGTTCCCTATAAATCAAAACACATCAAATCATTCAATTGGTATGCTCAGACCATTTCAACAAAGGTAGTAGACAGTTTGCCCCATTTGACAGACTTCTAATCATTTGAATTAAGAATACCACCCTACCTTCCATTTTAATGGTGGCTTCTGTTTTGGTAGCAATAAAGTTTACTGGTCCAGATGTGATGATCTTCATAGCTTCTCCTGAATTAAACTTCTCAATTGTCCGCTCTGCAAAAAAATAAAAGTGTAGACAGCCATAAGCAGTGAAATGACTGCCACTTTGAGGTCAGACTGGCTAGTTTAGCCAGAGTTCTCCAAATATTAAGTTATTTTAATGGGATGCTCTACATCTATTTGTAGGGTATCGCTGCCCAATAATAGATATGGAGGCTCCTAAACCAAGAGTTTTGCAGTTTGCCTACAATTTGACATCAAGTATAAGTGCAGCAAATACTTACTTTTTCTGAGCAAACAAGAAGGCATGCAGGAACTAGATGTGGATGGGACACATACTGAAGCACTGCAGTGGATGTACACCTGTGTTGTACAATGACAAAGTTAGGAGTTTAGCCTATGAGCAAGTCTGTTTACACTTAGAATACAGGGGGGGTGGGGAGGATTAGAAAAATGTTTACCATTCCTTTAAGTGCAAGCTGGGTTCTTCCATCCACAAATGTAAAGGTACTGATTGAAAAGTGGTTGTAATGGGTTGGGAATGGAATGGCCTGAGATGAAGCTCCAAGAGGAATAAGCTGTGTGATGTAGTTGTCTCCAGGAAAAGGGCAGCTGGAAACACATTTAACAATTAAGCCAGGAAATGCAATTCAGTTCAAGCATCATACCACCCAGAGGAACACCTCTACCTTTTCACCAAGATGGGCCACTGAGGCTGTTGTGTCTCATCAGGAGAGGGATTAGCCCAGCAGTCATTCAAGATCAGAACCAGATTAGGATCAGTCCTTTGAAGAATGCGGACTTCCAAGTAGACTGGATCTCGGAGCACTCTCGTTACAGGGTAGTCACCATCAACATAGTATGAAGAATACTGTTGGTCTACAAAAGAACATGGTTAATCTTACCACCATTGATCTCTAAATGCATGTGATAATAGATTTAGCTTTCATACCTCGGGCGATCCTCATTTCCAGGAGAAGGGGTCCAGTAGTGGAGACTGGAAGTGGTGGTGGAAGAGTGAATACCTGAACTTGCAATGGTGCAACACCTGTTCTGGAATAAGTGCAGCGCACAGTGACCCTGAATAGAAGCAGGACACAAGGAAGGAGAGTGTTGTACTCCTACATTAATCTGGTTCTGAAAATATCCACAATGCTATAGTCTGGTAGAACAAGCTGCTCTAGCCAAACATATTTCAAGACATGCCATACCTCATAGTACTGTCCCTTGTGATAGAAGCTGCACCCCAGGTCCTTATGTCTCGTGTTGCCTCAATTGTGTTCTCATATTGAATTGTGCTCCCAAGTACCTGAGAGGATAGATGTTAGCATTTTATCTTGCACACCAAAATGTGTAAGCAACCAATTTGAGGAATCCAGTTATTAGCAGACCTGTTAGAAGTTATGAATATTGATAAAGTGAGTTTATAAAGGTCTGTTTAATCTCCTCCCATTGTCTCAATTTGGGTTTCTACTAGTTGCTAGACTACAATTCCGATACATTGTACTATATATAGAAAGGTAAAGAGAATACCCCACTACACAAGTGGCCAATTTCTGACGAGAGGTTGGATTACCTGTCAAGGCAAACTATCAGGCCAATTAAAAAAAAAAAATATAAAAAAATATTTAATGCCTCATTTTTTGAAGGAATTACATTTAGCGAGTCATTAGCTCACTGTTGGAAGCTGAATAAAAGTAAAATGTTTTGTAGCAAATATCTATCCAGGAAAGTTGGATTAATGTTTGAGAACTGAAAGATACCTACCCTTTGTTTTGAGAAACTAGTACATTGCACCAGGTGAACAGAAGGAAGGTTGGAGAACAGATACTACATCACATAGTCTTACCTGATTCATAGACCCACAAGACAGTGGAAAGCTGAAAGCTATGAATGCATTGCTCTTCATTATCTGCAATCCAGGGCAAGATGTTGGATTCACATTGAGAACATGAACCGAATCCAAGATAAGTGATGGCATGGTCAGCTCAGTGTAAATTGCTACCGTAATACTGCTGTCAGCTGTGCATTGAGCAGTCACTGTAAAAAAGTGAAGTATTGGTATTTAAAAGAGCCACAACATGTTATAGCCCAGCTACACATTGCTAGCCACTGCCTAGCTTTTGTTATAGTGACATTGTGCTAAACGCAAGTATAATTATTTCATTGCATACATGCACCTACATATATGTTTGTGGAGGATGCATGAATGTTGCCCACCTTTTCTCCAGGGAAGGCAGGTCCTGATCTGAATCATTTAAAGGCTCACTATAGGGTCAGGAACCCCATCATGCATTCCTGACCCTATAGTGTTAAACCCACCATCTAGCCACCCAGGCCCCTCATGCCACCATAAAATATAGTAAAAAAAAAAAAAAAAAAAAAAACTTATGCTTAAGCTTTTAGACTGCACACATCAGAAGTGGTGGCCTGATCCAGAGTGCTTCCCCATAGGATTTGCTGAGACTGTCAGAGAGGCAGATTCAGCATGATTCAGACACAGCCCTGGCCAATCAGCATTTCACCATAGAGATTAATTGAATCAATGAATCTATGAGGAATGTTCAGTGTCTGCATGCAGAGGGAGGAGATACTGAATGTTGATGCATTTTAGGCAGCCATGACCCAGGAAGGATCTCTAACAGCCATCTAAGGAGTGGCCAGTAAAGTTAACACTAGGCTGCAGTGTAAACACTGCATTTTCTCTGAAAAGAGTGTTTACAGCAAAAAGCTTGAAGGTAATGATTCTACTCACCAGAACAAAGTCAATAAGCTGTAGTTCTGGTGACTATAGTGTCCCTTTAAGCACAGCTCTGCTTAGAACTCAGTATATGCATGAACACTGTCACAAATCACTTGTTCTGGCAATTGACAGGACTGCTCAGGTTCACAAGTGGTTAATTAGCTGAAGTATGCATTAGTTAGCTACTAGCAGGATTAATTCAGAACGTAAAAATTATATTTAGATTTGGTCAGAATTCATTTAGCAATCACAGAAGACCACTTCATATACAGTAAAGGAAAAAGCCAAAACTGTAGGCTGTAGACATGCAGCTAGCCAGGCGTTCTAGATTGACTGATAATTACTCACATGGTTTTCCAAAGTAACAGGGCACTGCAGAATCACCAGGAGTAAAACAGCAGCCGAGGCCTTCACAGACATCCCTTGACACACTTTGTTGAGCACAGGACAGCCGATCTTGTCTTGCCACAGCAGCACACATGCTGGGTGCAGGAGCATCCATAGCTATGATACAGATAAATCAAAAAAGACTAACAAAGGTTGCAAAAAATTCACACATGTAATGGATAATGTGTTTTGTTCAGACCAAGTGATAAGACGCAGACTACAGCTTCACAGAAGTCTTAGAGCCAAGTGGTCCACAAAATATGGAGTGCCAAAGGTTGCCTTCCCCTGCCTTATTGTATTGATAGATTGTCATGTCAACTAGCCAGCTTCCATTCTGATCATTAAAAGGGTTAGATTTAATAAGACTACCACAGATGACTGGCATGTCATGAAAGTGCTAGTACTAATCCACTTTTGACAAGTATCCAAAACTCATGTAGTGCTCCACTAACTTACAACACTGGGAGTTGTGAGCTTCACCCCAAAGAAGTGCCATAACATGCAACTATGATAATGTCGCTAGGTCTTCAACATCAGATTGTTTTGCATGAAGTGTCAAACAGGACCTCACAGTAACCTAGTGTACCACAGGACACCTTAGGGCCATTCAAGACTACCTGGCATGACTGAACACTTCAGATCTTTTTTGTGCTTTTGAGTTTTTCCTTCTTCCAGAATTACAGTCATCACACGTTCTCCATCCTGCAAACAGATTGTACAAGAGTAGTAACTAGAATGATTGTATATTAGTTAATTCTCACATTCCAGCTTCTGTAAGTTTGCCTGTTAATATTTTAACTTTTCAGCTTGGTTTGCCTGCATGAAATGCATTCAGTGGAGTTCAGTTACAAAAAAAAAAAAAAAAAAACCACAGTGTAGAGTAAACTTTACCAAGAGCCTCCATGAACAGACCAGTCTGGTAGCCACTTCTGTAAATATGCACATTACACGATTACCTTATTCATGCAGAACCTACCTTTTCGCTTACATAGCACCCATTGTAAGCTGCTCCAACCAGAACAGTTTTATCTGATTTGTGTACAATCCAAACCCCACAGGCAGAGTTATTGCGGAGAATGCGAGCCTTGCCTTTGTGGTCTGTAAGAGAGGTTTTGAGTTAAGTGCCTTGTAGACCAGAAGACCAAACCACAGCTTACTTACATATCCAGTACAGGGATAAGTTGCACTCTTGGTATAGGGGCCAAGTACAAGAAAGTGTATTGTTTCTGTAGATTTTCATTCAAAGAGATAAAACATACTACACATCACCTGATCAGTACAAAAAGCGAGTCTAAATGATTTAATCCCTTAAGGACACATGACAGAAATATTTCATGATTCCCTTTTATTCCAGAAGTTGTGTCCTTAAGGGGTTAATCAAGAGTAACACCGAGCACTACAGTGGGCAGTTGTCAAAGTTGTTTTGCTACTTACATGGTCAGATGGCTAAGTGACGGGACAATAGCCACTAAAACACAGTAGTCATGGTGCTTGCAGTGTTCCTTGCATCTTAAGTTATGACCATGCAAGATTAACTGACACATTGAGCCCTATTTATTGAAATGTTAATACTAAAAAGCTTTAGCATGCCACTTTGGGCATCTGGAGTGTTTTAAATGCCAATATAGCTTTTAATTTATAGTAGCAAGTAGCACAACTTGCTATATGGTCTATAGAGTCACTTCAAAAGACTTCCATGTCTATTTTATGACAAGAGTAATCATTTTAAGTGATACTAGTCACCAGAACTACAGCTTAACTTAGTTCTAGTTTATTTATATAGTTAGCCCCTGCAGGCAGTTTAATGTAAACCACTGTCTTCAGAGAAAATGCAGTCTTTACATGCCCACTCAAACAGACTGCCACTAGAGGGGGCTTCCTAGGCCACTATCATTCATCATCGATATGTCAAATATTCCTCAGAGATGCATTGAATCGATGCTTCTCTGAGGAGATTCTGATTAGCGCAGTGAGCAGTTTGCCATGAATGCACAATCGCCTTCCAAGGCCAAAGCATTGGATTTGCTGAGATAAAGATTATCTCAGCCAACCGGGTTGAGCAAGCCATAACAGACCTATACAGCTTTGGAATAAAGGGGAGTAAACAGGAATAAATGTTTACTCCTATCACTCTAGTATTCCTTTAAGTTAAGCCCCACATGAACAAGGACCTTGCATCTTTAAGAGCATCTACTAAACAGCAAGTTAGACATGCTGTGACTAATGACATTATGCAAAGTATTTTTGCAGTTTAGATTTAATGCTATACAGTCTGATGGACAAAAAAAAAAATAAAAAAATTGTAAGACTGCCATAATAGTGATAGCTTTGCAAATAAAGACTCATTTAGGTGATCCTGACTTGAGTTCCCATAAAACAATGTGACAGCAGATAAGAACCAGCCATTCAGCCCATCTAGTCTGCCCAATTTTCTAAATACTTTCATTAGTCCCTGGCCTTATCATATAGATAGAATAACCTGATGCTTACATGAAGCTTGCCTAAATTCCTTTACTGTATCAACCTCTACCCCTTCAGCTGGAGGGCTATTCCATGCTTCCACTACCCTCTCAGTAAAGTAATACTTCCTGATATTTTTAGACATTTGCCCCTCTAATTTGAGACTAATGTCCTCTTGTGGTAGTTTCTCTTTCAAATATAGTTATGTATTTAAAATGTTTCTATCATATCCCCCCGTCTCATCTTTCCTCCAAGCTATACATGTTAAGTTTCTTTAAATTTTATCCTGTAATCCATGAACCAGTTTTGTAGCCCTTCTCATAACGCTCCAAATATGTTAACAGATTAAATTATTAATAAAGAACAGGTACTCACCTAGAGCTCTCAGCACAAAAGCAGAATCATTACCAATTGAAGAGAGTGAAAACTGCAGATCTGCAGGTCCACATTGTAAATGTGAGGGAGAATCACTCCAAACATCCTGTGAGCTACAAACCAAGGAAACTGTCCAAATAGCCACTACCACAATCCACACATCCCTACACAAACCCATCTTTGCAATCAATAACAGCAGTACAATCAATCAGACTTTTATATCCTCAAGCACGGGGGCGGGTATCTAAAGCATTGATCCATGTGACCACAGGAAATGTGAATCTAATTTGAACTTCAAATGGTGGTCACCACACCTGTATGTGATAATTGAAAGTGAACTGAAAGTGGATTTCATATTTAAGGTCAAAATAGCCAAAGTGGAACAATTCTCTCAGTCAGCTATGTTTTCAGAACAGCTACCCTGGCCTTAGATTTGAATTTCATTTTGAAATCACTTTAGTGAGTAACTTCGCTATTTACAAAACACATCCTAAAATATCCATACTGAAATTATAGCTGAGTTATAGAATATTGTGAACACCAGTGAACTATATTCACTGTCTAGTGAATTTGTTTCTGAAATTAGCTTGTTGTTTTAATTATAATTAACATTTGATATTTATTGTGTGTGTGTGTGTATTGTGTTATTCAGAAAACACATTGAGGGCTATTCACTAAAATATATTTATAATTATCTTAAAAGAGCACTAGAGTCACCAAAACAACTAAAGCTTTATGTAGTTGTTCTGGTGTGTATAGTATGTTCTTCCAGGTCTTTTAACGTTCAGTGAAAAGGCGGTCTTTACATTGCTGCATGTAGACACCTCAGACGGCTACTAGAGGTGCAGAGGTGCTTCCTGGGTCAGTGTTGGACAATGCAGCAGCACTGCCATTCAGTGTCTCCACGCTCTGCATGGATGTGCTGAACATTCCTCATAGAGATGCATTGTTTGAACGCATCTCGGTGAGGATATGCTGATTAGCGAAACATTTTGCAGCATGCCTGCATTAGCCTCCCAATGCCTTTGTATGGGAAGGCTTTCTATTGACTGAGATCATCAAAATTGGAGGTGGAGCGTGGGCGGGGTCAACCACTAGCGGGCAAGGGATGCCAGTCACCCAAACGGTGCGTCTTACATTTAGTGTCAGGAATACACATTTGTATTCCTGACACTATAGTGTTCCTTTAATGAAAATGATATAGATGTAATTTTCATTAAAGGAACCCAACCTATGTTACATGTTAACATGCTGAATCCTTACTATGAGTGGATGGAGGATATAGCGACTATATGAACTCCTGCCTTGGAAGAATTTGACAAACTTCCCCTGCTGGAGCATAGCGTTCAGGCAGGGTCCATCGACAAGGTCCAACTAGGGGATCGGTTAAGCAGTGGAGAACGTACCCAGGCCCAACAGATGCTAGAGTCCATAAGAGCCACTTTCTCCAATGTAACCGGTTACACTACCTTGGCTACACATTAGGTAGAAACCCCCGAAAACTGCCCCTGTGCGAACAAACCTACCGATTTCCCTAGTCCATTTGTGAAAGTATGAGGCAATAAATGCTCCACCTTAGTGTTATAGAGGCATCTGACAGTCCGTGAGCCTCTCCGGAAGTCTTAATGCCAAAAACAACAAAACAGTATCAGATGCCTACCCATGCCCCATATCGACTAGCTATTAGACCGAATGGCTCGTGGCCAGACCTCACTACTATTGACTTATGTAAGGGGTACTGGCAAATTCACTTAGCCTCAGATGCTATACCGAAGTCGGCATTCATCACTCTGTTCAGCCTGTACCAGTTCAGGGTCATGCCATTCGGAATGAAGAATGCACCGGCCACCCAACGGATGGTGGACCGGCCCTTAGATGGCCTCCAGGACTACACTTGTGTATACCTGGATAACATTGCAGTAATCAGTGACACCTGGGATGAACATTTAGTTCATGTAGGGGCTGTGCTACATAGGATCAGAAAGGCAGGATGAATGCTAAAGCCTAATAAGTGCCCCATAAGAATGGCAGAACTCCAATACCTGCGCCACGAGGTGTGTTGCGGGAAACAGAAACTCGAACCAGCAAAGATAGAAGCTGTAGCTAACTGGCCCACTCCCTGTACTAAGACCCTAGTGATGGGTTTTCTAGGGACGGCTGGATACTACTGGAAGTTTGTCCCAAACTATAGCGCCCTAGCAAAGCCCCTCACAGACTTAATCTGTAAAAACCTGCCATGTCAAGTGATTTGGATCCCGGAGTGCAAGCAAGCTTTCCAACAACTTAAGAAAGCCTTAGTGAATGCACCCGTCCTGGCCACTCCTAACCCAACTAAATGCTTTCTTATTCACACAGACTCTTCTATTTTTGAGAGCAGCGGTAAGCCAGGTCGGGGACGATGGCAGAGAACACCCGGTAGCCTACCTCAGCAGAAAGTTACTACTCCGGGAGATGAGCTACGCTGCCATTGAGAAAGAATGCCTGGCGGTGGTGTGGGCCCTAAACAAATTACAACCCTTCATTTATGGACAACAATTCACCCTGCTCACGGATCACAACCCATTGGTGTGGCTCAACCGGGTGGCTGGGGGCAATGCCAGACTATTACACTGGAGCCTGGCACTCCAGCCAGGACGGCAATGTTGAAAGGTTATCTCGTCAAACTGAACTAGAAAAGTGATCCTTGGACATTCCTAAGCCGATCTGTTGGGATCATACTGTGTATGCTGGCTAGTGGTTAAGGGGGAGCTGTGTGGCGGACCATGTCCTATTCCCTAGACTTTGTCCTGAAAGAACGGTTCACTGTCCCCCCCGGTTCGGTACCTTGCCTGCTCATGAACATGTAGTACTGAAAGCTCTTCCCTGGCAGTCATTCGCCCGTACAAAGTACCGAAAAGTCCGCAGCAGTAACTAGCCGCCAACCCCTTGGAACTCATCTTGGCTATTGGAGTTTGTGGCTCCTGGTCCTATTGACCCAATGTATTAAGCCCCTTGCCAACCTGCCAGGAGAGCACTATTTAGAGGAAAGGTACTACAGACTACAGCAAACAATCGAGCTATGAGGAGCCCCCTTTCGTTTGACCATCGGAGCTCCAGATCTTTGACCAGCCAAGATAACTTTCCCTCTGGAACTATTTTGGGCTTTGCCCACATGTGTGGCTGGTCGAAACTACCCTGGCTGAGATTGGACAATTCTTTATGGATCCGTTTGCTATTTCGCCAATTGGAGCACTCGAACAAAAGCTACCGGGGATGTATGACATGTGGGGTTTAACTGTATTTTAAGGTATTTTTCATATGTTTCTATGTTTAGCACTCTGCATCCGGGAGATACTTAGTTTAGCAGGCAGCAACTTAATTATATCCCAGGCACAGAGACGCCTGGGCGGGTACTGTGTGTACTGATGCTGGGGTCTGTTCATAAAAAGCCATGTTTGCTCAATACAAACAGATTACTCACAGAAGTTTGTCTTGTCTGGTTACTGGGGGGAAGAGAGCTATATTCATGAACAGTTCCAATCTGGCTAATAGGAGAGTTTAGCAGAGGTAACCAGTTGGTTTACCAGTGCTTCACTACAATCATAGGCCAGCCTACTCTAGGGAATTTACCTCCCAGAAAGCATCCCACTGAGAATAAAAACCAGATGTAATAGAGATTCATTCTCTGTAAGTAATAGTCATGGGCACTTGCCCCTCCTCCTCCCCTGGATTTTTAATCTTCCTCCCTCCCCACAGACACCAGGAGCACTGTGAGATACCTAATGTGCCTTTTAAATAATTAATAGAAGGAGGAAGGTACTTGCGCAGCATTTAGGCTGCCAGGGGGCTGGAGGGAGCACTGTGAGACTCCCTTTGGAATTCCCTGCAATTTGGTGCCTCTAGGCCCCACCCCCACATGCAAACCCTGCCTCCCGCACATAAGCTCCGTCCCTGCAATCATGCTGCTTACATCGCCATAAGGAAGAGGACATGGAGTCTTCACCTTTCAGTGCTCCTAGTTACCCACAGCCTTCTGTGACAGGTAAGCTTAAGCTTAGTGAGTGTCAGTGAGTGTGTCTGTGGTGAGCATGTGTGTCAGTGAGTGTGTCTGTGGTGAGCAAGTGTGTCAGTGAGTATGTCTGTGGTTAGCAAGTGTGGCAGTAAATGTGTGTCTGTGATGAGCAAGTGTGTCAGTGAGTGTGCCTGTGGTGAGCAAGTGTGTCAGTGAGTGTTTCTGTAGTGAGCAAGTGTGTCTGTGAGTGTGTCTGTAGTGAACATGTGTCTGTCAGCAAGCTTGTCTGTAGTGAGCATGTGTATGTGTCAGTGAGTAGTGATGTCGCGAACGTGAATTTTTCGGTTCGCGAACGGCGAACGCGAACTTCGGCAAATGTTCGCGAACCCGCGAACCGGGCGAACCGCCATAGACTTCAATGGGCAGGCGAATTTTAAAACCCACAGGGACTCTTATTGGTTGAAGGGGGGGAGACCTACTCTCCTCCCCGCCCCAGCCCCCACCCCTGGGCGGCAGGTGGGGGCATATTGATAATGAGGGGGGGGACCTACTGCCCCCCCCGGCCCCCACCCCTGCGCGGTGGGTGGGGGCCATATTGATAATGGGGGGGGGACCTACTGTCCACCCCCCCTCCGGCCCCCACCCCTGCGCGGCGGGTGGGGGCCATATTGATAATGAGGGGGGGAACCTATTGTCCACCCCCCCTCCGGCCCCCACCCCTGCGCGGCGGGTGGGGGCCATAGTGATAATGAGGGGGGGGACCTACTGTCCACCCCCCCTCTGGCCCCCACCCCTGGGTGGCGGGTGGGGGCCATAAAGACTAATGAGGGGGGGGACCTACTGTCCTCCCCCCCGGCCCCCACCCCTGGGCGGCGGGTGGGGGCCACAAAGATAATGAGGGGGGGGACCTACTGTCCTCCCCCCCGGCCCCCACCCCTGGGCGGCGGGTGGGGGCCACAAAGATAATGAGGGGGGACCTGCAGTCACTCCCCCGGGCTCCACCCTGGTACAAGGTAATGAGGGGGACCTACGTCCTCCCGGCGCCGCACCCTGGGCTGCGGTGGGGACTGCAAGGTAATGAGGGGAACTGCTGTCTCCCGACCCCCTAGCGGTGGGGGCCCTAAGTCATTTCCCCCCCCCAGGGTGACTAGGGGTCCCCAAGCCCCTAGTCACCCACCCCCCACCCAAAGAAAAAGTCCCTACCTACCCCCCTCACCCTAAAAAATAGTGAGGGGGGAATAAAATAACTAACCTGTAAAATAAAATTAAACTTACCATTCGACGTCTTCTTTTTTCTCAAATCTTCATTTTTCAGCCCCAAAAAAGGCCAAATAAAAACCATCATAACCGTCGAATTTAAATAAAATAAAAATCCAGAGTGCAAAAAAAAAAACCAGAAGAAAAAGAAAAACCGGTAAAAAATAATCCATCTTCTACCCGTGGAGGCTCTGCAATTGAGCTCTGCAGGGCGGGGGAAGGCTTATAAAGCCTTGCCATGCCCTGCAATTAGGCTAAGAACACTCTGATTGGTGGGTTTAAGCCAATCAGAGTGCTTTTTGTCATGTTACACAGCGTGGGAAAATTCAAAAGAACTTTCCCACGCTGTGTAAAATGACACAGAGCACTGTGATTGGATGGCTTGAAAGCCATCCAATCACAGTGCTCTGTGTCATTTTACAGCGTCTTAGAAGGTGAACTTTCAGCTGTGTGAAATGACACCTATTTAACTGTTCAGATGGCTACTACTGTCATTTTACAGCGTGGGAAAATTCCAAAGAACTTTCCCACGCTGTGTAAAATGACACAGAGCACTGTGATTGGATGGATTTCAAGCCATCCAATCACAGTGCTCTGTGTCATTTTACTCAGGGGTGGGGGCCGGGGGGGGGGCAATAGGTCCCCCCCTTATTGGTATTTTTAGGGCCCCCACCCACCGCTCAGGGGTGGGGGCCGGGGGGAGGACAATAGGTCCCCCCCTATTAGTATTTAGGGCCCCCACCGGGGGGGGGGGCTTTTTTTTTTAAACAGTGAGCAGCCACAGGCTGCTCACTGTTTAATAGACATGCTCCTACTCGCGGTATTGCGAGTAGGGGCACAATTTACTAATACTAAGTCATTTTTACTTAGTATTAGTAAATTAATAGGGGGCGGATCGAACATTGCATATGTTCGCCGTCGGTGGCGAACGCGCACACGCTATGTTCGCCAGGAACTATTCGCCAGCGAACCGTTCGGGACATCACTATCAGTGAGCTTGTGTGTGTGTCAGTGAGCTTTTGTGTAAGCAAGCATGTGTGTGTCAGCTAGCTTTTCTGTAGTGAGTATGTGTGTGTTAGTGAGCATGTCTGTAGTGATAATGTGTCTATGTATCAGTGATCGTGTCTGTAAGTGAGCTTGTGTGTGTGTCGGTTAGTTTTTCTGTTGTGAACTTGTGTGTGTGTCAGTGAGTGTGTTTGTACTGAGTATATGTGTGTGTCAGTGAGATGTGGAAATATTATATATAAGAATTACTGCACCTTTTAGTCCAAAATAATCAAACGGGGTGACGCTATACTTTATAGGTGGCATTATTCTAAACTATTGTTCCACTACAGCCCATGTATTACCTACAATCAGCAGTTGATGGATGTCTCTTCTCCCTTATGATGTGCTATTATCTTGCTATTTGATTGTATAGTACTTAGGTTCCAAGCTGGACCACTCACCCCATATAGACTCTTACACTAAGCAACAGTTTAGATGATCTCTCCCTATTTATTTTACAACAGCAAGGTCGATTATTGGACTGTGAAGGTTTAGGCTTATTATTTGACACAATTTACTTAGATATCCATTTCTTTAGACCTTTGTACTTATTTTTGTTTTGGAACTGAGAGTTATCTATCTGCTAACCGCCATATCAGCTTGCAACTACCATCTATACAGTCAGGACAACTTGTGGCTAATACATTTTAGGCAACTATAATAAAGCCTATTGGTTTATCCATTTCAATTACATTTTTGTCCTGCTACATATAATAGATATTTCCTCGTTATGTTTTAACAATTGCACTTACCTATTTCAGCTTTCCATACACCAGTACCCAAGAGGAATTCTCTGAGAAGGATATCTTTTCTCTCTATATTCAATTAAAGTGCAGCGTTTGATAACACCTTTAATGATCCTTTTGGGATTGTGTGCCTATATGCAGTGTTGTAATATATGAGATGTTATGTAACCAAGAGAAATAGGTTGGATGGATTTCTCCTTTTCTATCTGTATTTTTTCTCCCCTATATCTCTAATTAATTCTGTTTTATGGGGGACTCTCCCTCTTTATTTATTCAAGGTATCTTGGTCTGAACAGTGTGCACTCTGGAACGCCAGCTTCATCTGCAGCAATATTAAATCGACAGCCATACACGACCTCTTCATCTAAAATTCTGTCGCATTAATATACTACTGTCACTTTACCCCACTTCCTCTAGCATTTACCCCACTTCCTCATTGAGCAGGGCCCAAAACCCCTCTGTTCCTGTTCCAATTAAATATTTGTTCATCCACAGAGCTGTGGAATTTGTTGATGTCTTATAAATAAAAATAATAATAATATACACTCGAGTATAAATAGAGATAGGAAGAAATATTGGCTGCATTTTATTATTGATAGCTGAGCTCCCAAGAGACTCCCTTTACTGCATCCCCACAAGAGACCTGATTGATTAAAGTAAGTAAGGGATTGAAATGGAAATGGTGTAAATTTCACCATTACTGGAGGAGAGTCTCTAAGCATTATTTTGTGAGAAGATAGTTCTTGTAACATATTTAGTCTGAATTAAGCTGTAGTTTGGTTACTTAATCAGATATTTGTATTAATGAGGAAACATTTTGCATCTGAGCTGTACATCATGTTATAACATTACAGGGGCTACAACAAGTATGGGATCATTAGATATGGGCATCAATTACAATACGACTAGTAACATTTATTGGCAGTTTATCAACTACCAATTAGCATTTTGTTGGTTCAAATCTATTTAATTGCTTTTGCTAAAGTTGTATCTGGAGCCAATAAATATTGATTTTCTCATAATATCAAAGATCTATATTTAATTTAGCATTGAAAAGATCAGATTCAACAATTCACTGCCATTTATCAAGGACATAATATTTGCAGCAAAAAGTTATTGAAAAAAAAGGCAATAATCAAAAAAAGCCGGTGGGTGAGACATGAAACCCACATTAGTACAAAGGAGAATTAACACCTCCCCATGTCCTCATTCACCATGTTGTAAATGGGGGTATGTCTGCTAAACAGCAAACTGCCAGTAGCTGCTTGCTGTAATAAAAGAATAGTGACTGGGAAGCTATTGCTACCCAGTCTCAGGTAATGTACAGGGGAACATGATGCAAGTCCACCACATGGGGCTTCAATTTAAAGCATACCCCCCCCAGCCACCACTGTGGGGCTGTAATTAAAATAATAAAGTGGGGGGATATGCCCCCACTAGCAGCATGAAGAGTAGGGGTATGGGTTTGTACTAATGTGGTGGTCCCATTGACCACCACAAGTTTTTGTTTCATTTCTTTTTTAATAACTAATAGGATTAGTCAGTAACAAAAGGCTGATAAACGTGCCTCCAAAGCATATTTATCAGAAGATATTTCTCAAAAAGTCCAGCCGATTAATGGGTTTGGCTGCTAGAATTTCAACTGATATTAAACCCAGTCAAAATTCAATAAAAATATTGTCATTATCCAGTCGATAATATCCACTGTTTTCAGCCAACAGAATGGAATCAAGTTATAGTTAGAGAAATTTAGCAGGATCGACCTTTATAACTATTTGTGCCCAGACATTGATGCTGCTAGTCATTTGAATATAAGGAGAGAAAAAAAGTAAGAAAAGGGGTACAAAAGGGGTTTATTAACTAAACTAAGATTTATTGAAAACTTTCAAAGGAATTGCAAATGTTAAGTTAAACCTATCTCAAAATAGAAAGCAAAAAAACAATTAAGTTGGAGATTTATTCCAGATTGACCACGTTGCCCTATAATTTCCACAAAACACAATAAAGTGACTAATTCCCAAAATGTTGATGACCTGCACAACAGATAGAAGTAGGGTTTATTTTTCTGTTTAAAATTATTATTATAATATTATACATTCGGTTTTTCACCTGTTATGGCTAACTGGCCCGACTCTGAATTTACGTACAGTATTTAATGGTAGAGATAAAATTGTAATACACAATATCACTCTGTGGGCTTATTCAATAAAAAACAATGTGTTGTGAATTGAACACTGAATTACAAATGGAGGATAAACCAGTCAAGTTGTGACTATAGCTGAATTGGAGAATTTTTGCAGATAGGCAATTTTGACCAAAATTTTGCAATTTTCAATTCAGTTTGCCGGGCGGCACAAATCAGTGACAAGATCTGTGATATTTCCTATCATGGCTCACAGTAATGAAGAAAGGAGATCCCACTTGTTTTCTCAGGCTTCTTTGAGGCAGGAAGGTAGAACATGTAGGGCACCCCTAACCATCTATTTAGTAAAGTGAGACTTCATAGTGAAATCAAAATGAATTTCAAGCAAGAGTAGTCAAACTAAAAGTTACATTCAAAGTGACTTTCAAATTCTAGGACAAAGTGGGAGCAAAGCTGACTTTGAGATTTTTTCCAGTTTGACTTTTCTAGCCTCAAATTTAAAATACACTCTGAATTCTCACGTTAGTGAATAAACCTGAGAAAATTTTCCAGCTCCGCTACTTTCACCTTATATTTGAAACTCACGTTAAATTCTCACTTTAGTAAAGAACCCTGTAAGCATCATTAAAACCACTGACAAGTGAAGTGAATAACATTGATTATATCATTGTAAGGGCACCTGTCAAGAGGTAGAATTTATTAGGCACTTAGGCAAGTAAAAAGATCTGAGCGACTTTGACAAGGGCCAAATAGTGATGGCTAGATGATTGACTTTGTCAGATTTTTTCCTAAACGTCATGCCTTGTGGAGTGGTCCTGGTATGCAGTGATTAGTACCTACCAAAATGGATGCATGGAAAGACAACCAGTGAACCGGCATTAGTGTCATGGGTGCTCAAGGCTCATTGATGTATGTGGGAAGCAAAGACCAATCACACAGAAGAGCTCCTGCAGCTCAAATTTCTGAAAAACGTAATGCTGGCCATGATAGAAAGGTGTTAGAACACAGAGTGTATCACAATTTGCTGCGCATGGGGCTGTCCACTACCAAAACCACCTTCAATGGAGATGTGAGCATCAGAACTCGACCATGGAGCAATGGAAGAAGGTTGTCTGGTCTGATAAATCACATTTTATTTCACATCAGGTGGATGACTGAGTGAATGTGCGTCATTTACCTGGGGAAGAGATGGCAGTAGGATGTACTATGGGAATAAGTCAAGCTGGCGGAGGGAGTGTTATGCTCTGGGCAATGTTCAGCTTGGAAACCTTGGATCCTGGTATTCATGTGGATGTTTCTTTGACATGTACCACCTTCCTAGAGATTGCTGGAGACCACGTAAACCCCTCAATGGCAATAGTGTTCCCTGATGGCAGTGGCCTCTTTCATCTCCTTGCTCCTTAAGGGCTCATTTATTTATAAAACTCAGGAGATGGGGCATTTTCTGCTTTCCTTTTAATAGTATTAGCCATGCCATAATCAATTAGGTGTAGAAGGAGAGCACCCTCAATAGGCCTCAGCTGTTTTTATGTGGGTCTCAGGGAACCCCATGCTTCTATTTATTTATTTTATGGCATGACCTGATCAGTTCTCCATGTTATTACAAGCTAGCCATGTAAATTATATGATCAGCATTTAGACCTTATTTTACTTTCACTTTCAGTGCCATAGAGTAGATCAGCGCATTGCAGCAAGGAAGGGGCTACTTGCACAGGTGTAGTTTGTCCAAGCGACACCATACACTTTATCGCATTCGTAATTTACCATTAACTTTACCAAATTAGCTTTTTTTGAGTCTGTGAAACTGTAATGCCATTTAATGAATAACAAATGTTGTTACAGTTTCTATAGTTTTCTGTAAAGCACTTATACTCTGAAAGGAACTCTAGACAGATTGATGTTGTAAAAATTTACGTCAGAAAATAACAATTTTGTGTATAATAAATGGAGCTGTTAGTCTTCCATTCACTACAATTTTGTTTTCAGTGAATAAGCCCCAGTACCTCTTGCAGTTCATATTACAGTGTTTAATATATAGGCAATCAATATTGAATTTGTTACATTTTTATGATTTATGTGAATCCAGTGATATTTTAAGTATCTAATAATGGGACTATTAGTAGAAATATTTGGTGCCTGCACAGAGAAGTCCATTACCACAACAAATCTAATATTCATCCATTGTTAATTCAGTTTGGTTACTTCATTTTTGTGCATTTAATTTGCACTTTTAGTGTTTCTGGTTGAACTCACGTCACTGAAACCTTGTGTAAAAAAAAAAAAAGGATATCATAGTTAAACAGTGTTCCAATTTTGAACTTTTGCAAACTTTTGGTGTGTTTATTGACCAAGCTGCACTTCAAAGAACTGTGTCTTGGACCCCATATCTGCTGCATAATTATTTATCTTCTCCTCAGTGAATTCTGGGGTGCTCAGCCTTTCTGTGCTGTGGTGAATACCGTAGCCAAAGTAGATCAGAAAACCTGCAAAAGACGGCTTCAATAAATATTCTGCATATTTCTAAAATTAATAATTAGATTGGTTCACTAGTGGAAAGTGGGTAAAAAAAGATTGTTCTCATGGCAAAAAAGTCAACAGATATTTGATTCCAGTGTTTCTGCCTGCAGGAACAAATGCAGCCACATGGTGTGCTTCATAATAATGCTGGTATCACATCCAGAAGAAGAAACACTGATCTGTACCTGAAGCAGACAGCACAAAGATGTACTTGCGCTACATACAGCAGGCATGGAATCTTCCCGCAGAGGTAGGCAAACATGGGCGGCCACAATAGAATAGAGACTTGCTTTTCAGCAAGCCAATCAATCAGAGCGCTCTGACTAATATACTAGCCCCACCTGCTGTCAATAGCTTGGGGCAAGAGGCACACTAAAGTGTCTTCCAACTGCTTTTTTTATTTAATAGCCCCCACTCCCCAGTTGGCCATAGGTGGGGGCACCATACCGCCTTATTATGACAGTGAGCAGCCTTTAGTAGACATGCCCTCACCATGCCGCATGACATGTGGGGGCATAATGGAGCTTTATAATCCTATTGGCCTTTTTTATTTTTAACTTATTAATTGTGGTGGTTACCCATCAGATTGCCAAAGGTTTTTTGTTTACTATTTTCTTACTGTCAGTCCACACTGCCATCAGTCAAATCGTTTAGATTTTTAAAATCCAGACCCTGATTTTAAGCTACAATTTTAACAATTCTGATCTAGATTTCAGCTGTTCAGCAGCGTTCAGTCCGGCAGAAACCCAACCCAAATTCAGACTCATTCAGAGCGTGGTTTGAGAAATCTGGACAATGATGTCCTGTTGTGGTTCTATAGCTCTCTACTGCATGTGTTGTGACGTGTGCTTCAATATGGCTTGTTTAATGTTTTGTTTGAAATCTGGTAACCTTGACTTGTCTTCTAATTTTTTCGGATCCCTGTTACACTTAATTGCTAATATTAAAAAAAAAGCCAGTGAGAACATGCATTAGTAAAGTAGTTTCTAGTTTTAGGCTCTAAATGTTGGAGTCACAATGTAACATCGACAACAAAATATATAAAAAAATGTAAAAACAAAATGAAAATAATTGCTTTGGTTATTTGTTTGCATGAACTTTACTTAAATCCTTATATCCCCATGATTTTTATGATTATATCCACTGCACTTGAACTATACATCATCTAACATCATTAAAAAAAGCAGTATTGATGTGCATTTCTCTTACCAAGAATCATCCAGATAGCATAACGAAGCCAGGTGTCTGCGCTAAGCTGAACCATCAAATATATGTTAACCAGAATGCTAAGTACTGGTAAAAATGGCAAGAATGGAACCTATGTTATGAAAAAAACAAAAGAGATTACATTTTAAAAAAAAAATATTCCTTTTGTGATATAGTTAATATTGATAATTTTTTTTTTTATAAATTGAAACACAAAATGTATGTTGCAATTGAGGTAGCTAATTTTTGTTTAAAAGATGACATGTAATATATTCTTTGTGTACTATTTTGTAATACATACATATAAGTGAATATCTCTTTACAGGAGATATCCTGGGTTACCCTTTCTATATTGGGACAGTCATCTTTATATCCTCGGCGGTCAGAAGCAGAGCTCATCTGACACAAAACATCTGAGTGTAATGAAGAGCTATGACATTACTAATGCAGTAGTATTACTAAGGCATTGGCAATACTGTGAGCACCATACCTCGGGGGATTGCGGTAAAATTGCTGAAATGTTTCATATAGAACCAAGGGACATCACCAATAACCTGCTAGCACCATAACCACTATAATGGTTCTTAGACTAATCAATTAAATAGTTATTTCAACATTATAGGTATAATACAAGCATTTCTCAGTTTAAAAGCTCCTTAATTAAAGGGACACTGTAAGCACCAAAACTATTTTAGCACACTGAAGTGGTGTTGGTGTATACTGCTATTCCCTGTCATTTATGAGTAAAAGCGGCACTATCATGCTTTTCTTCCTATGTGATCTAGTTTTCTTTAAACCATAAGATAAAGTAGGGATTACTTTGTCTGGTGTATTTTTCTTACGCTTGATCATTTTTGACCAAAGGAGGTGAGTACTTTCTCTGACACAGGAAATGAAGCTGTTTGAAAATCCTCTTTAGGAGATGCTTATTCCTAAAACAAAAGCCATTACCTGAAACCTAGGTTTCACTCCTCGTACAAATTATACACACCATGTACCCCAATACAAATTTTAACCCCTCTCTAACTCTGAACCCAGTAATTCTAAACACCAATTATACCACAACTATTACCCCTCTCAATATTTTAATATTTTTAACACTAAACATGTTTTCATCTAATTCTGACATTAAACCATATATAATCTTGAACTCCCTTTATCTTAATTACTCCTAACATTGTTTATATACCTGCATACATTAACAAAGCTGCATAGACTCACATATTTACACACAATACATTAGAAATACATTACAATTAGCAAGATTGGTAAATAAATAAATATTTTGCTGATATCTGGCGCCCTCTAGTGTGTATGTATATATATATATAGGAAATTCCTACATTTGAATTTTCTTTGGCTTTGTCTTGTGTGAGGTCTTCTCGATGTGAGCCTTAGAGAGGCAGCATTTATTCAGCACTCACCTCTGTTATTCCCACCATTTGTTTTTGACTTTTAGGAATTAACCTGATTACACACCGCAGCTGTCAATCGATCTGGTCCTGTTACTTCCTGGTTGTTTAACTCAGTAGGGCTACACACAAGAGGCAGCAATTTCCCGGAGCTACTGCCTTGTAAAGAATTCTCATTGAGCTGCAGTGGGAAGTCTGTGATTGGACAGCCACAGAAAGTCTAGATTGCATAAAAAGGGGAAGGCTTGCAAAGGCTTCAGACAAAAGATCTCAGGCTTTTGCAAGCTGTTTTTAGATATACCCCCAATAAAAAAGATGCATCATTAAATAAATGCATGTTTTCATTGGGGTTATATCCATGAACATTTTTTTCTTTTCTTTTTTTGTATTTGGGCAGTGGAGTTGGGCACTAGAGCGTCCTTTTAAAGTGCTGTAAGCCAATGGGCCTTAGGATGTCAGGAAAGCTGTCACTTGTTTATCAGTTCCTATACTATTTGCTGTACAGTTTAACTCAAATAGTTCGACCCAAGTGTCCTGATTATAGCATTCAGTGCTGTTATTAACCTGTGTCAGTATCTGTCTCCAAATATTACTGAGACTTTGGCACATGGATTTTAGTCAACCTTTTATTCGGTCTGAAGAACATATCATCGTCACTAGAGGATTCCTCAGTAACAGCAAATACGGCTTCCAATTGTCACACAGAGACCTAAAACACTCCAGGGAGTGAGCTCTGCAGTTCTTAAAGCTGCAGTAGCCAGCCCATGCACAAACCCACACGGTGTCCAGGTAGC